GGTACAAAAAAAGTTCTTAAAAATTCCACAATAAAGAAATCTAGAAAGCAACAAAAACACCCAAAAATGTTCAAACAAAATATGAAATCACGACTAGCTAGATCGAGATCTTTGAGAGGACGAACCTCAGCATTATTATAGATCGGGATCTGACATATCTTTATTTAAAATTATAACCATTGAAATTATAAATAGATGAAAAGAGAAGAAAATCTTATTAGAGTGGGAAATCTTAGGATCTCCTTCTCCGATAAGAAGAACCTCAAAATTGGTTATGAAGAGCCGAAGAGGAAGAAAAACAGATGCTCACTTATGTTATTCCATCAAGGCCATGTATGTCTCTTTTTGGGAAAAAAAACAAACCTTAGTTCCCTCTTCTCATGTATTAGGGTTAATCTCATAAATGATTTTTAAAATTTAATTTTAATCTCATTTTAATCTTTAATTTTTCAAACGTCACATAATTAATTCATGACGCTTCAACCGAGCAAATAAATAATAATATTATTTATTTTTGCGTAAATTATTGTTTTAAAAGTTTTGAGGAATATTTTTTTGCTATACATGATACGTAACGTTTACGTTTTCGTTAAATATTTATCTAAAATTGTTTTTGAAACCAACACAAACACCATCAAATATTTATATTTTGCACATATTTATGAATTAAAAATATAATTAGTAGGAAGTAGTTAACCATTCCAAATACCGTAAAAATTGAAAAAGCTAAACTTTTGGGCCTGTTTGTTTGCGTTTTCATTTTCGTTTTTCACAGTTTTCAAAGTAAAAAAATAAAAACGGGTGTTAAAAACGCGTTTGGTGTAATTTTTTTTAAAAAATAAAACCAAAAACGTTTTTGTCTTTTTGTGGAAATCAGAAAACGAAAAAAAAGTGTTTTCATTTTCTCGTTTTCGTTTTTTGTTTTCTGAAAAACGGATTTCACTTTTTTTTTTTTTTTTCATTTTCTTCCCTCTTTTCTGAAACCGTTTTTGTATTATATATGTTTATTTAATATATTTATTTAATATATTTAATAATATTATTTATATAATATATTTAATAATATTATTTATTTAATATATTTAATAATATTATTTATTTAATATATTATTATTTAATATATTATTACATATTTTCAAAAATTAAACCACCAAACGCAGTTTCAGTTTTTTTTTAAAACTGAAATCAATCTCTAAATAAAACTATCAAACGCATTTTTAGAAATAATTCAAAAATGAAACTAAAAACGTTTTCATTTTCATTTTCGTACAGAAAATAAAAACGTTTTAGAATCAATTCCAAACGCACCCTCTATGACTCATTTCCGTGGAGAAAACACTATATTATGATTGTTCATGATTAGAATGGCTATGTTTGGTTGCTAAATACTTCCCCAAAAAAAATCCACACGCAACAATGCTGATATAATTAAGAACACCATATGAGGGTGAAATAATGCTAAACATTACTATAAATTTTTTTGTTTTATCAATTTTGAATGATGAACACTACAGGATTTTAGCTCCAGCAGCGCTAAAGGTACAACGGTTTAGAATGTTACCCTTAAAACATGCGATGTATTCAGATATTTTATTGTTTATGTGCATATATTATTAAATATTTTATAAGTATTAATATTAAAAATTATGTACTTATTTATGTGACTTTAAATATTATATATAAATTTTATATATAAGAGTATAATATTTAAATATAATAATTGAAATATGTCCATAATAAATTTAGCTAAAGTTTAAAATTTTTAATTAAAATATCACTAATCTATGTATAATTTCCTTTAATAATGGAATGATTTTATATGGAGGAATATTGAATGAAAGTATTGTGCATAATGTGATCATGTAGGATTGGGACAAGACATGATGTGAATTTCTAATAATTTTTGTAAAATATAGAAATTCGAATTGAGTATATCGGTAGTCATATATAAAATAATTTTTTAATAATGAATTATAAGAAAACTTCTATTTATGGATTTGTGTCTTTTGACTTACTCGATATTTGTTTTGAGATTGCTAAATCATATTCCTTATATTTTAGAGACATGATAAAGTAGGTAGTCAAGAATATTAATATATGAGATGGAATTAATTTTTTTTTTCAACAAAGAAGTATATAAATAATTCTTTTGAGTGTTGATTCAGCCTTGAATAGTAAGAATGCTCAATTTGTGATTATAATAATGAATTTATTATTCATTAGAGATTCAATGGTACTCAAGAATAAAAATGTAATTAGAGAGGTTAACTAATTTCTACCTAGCTCTAATTATCAATTATTTATGGAAGATTGAGCTATATGTAATGACTATATCAAATAGATGCTTCACATTCTTAAAAGTAATTACATGTCTATAATTTTCAGAGTGCGATTCCAAGTTTTTAGTGGAGTAACTTTTAGAATTAATAAAATTAATTAATTGATTAAAAAGTTTAATTGATTATTAATTTTATTAGAACTTTAAATTGTGGGTCCATGGGTCTCTTGTCGTGCTTGTATTAATTGTTAGACAAAATGAATTTATGGTAATTAAAAAATTATGTAATTCAAAACTAAATTACTCAAGAATAATTAATTGTGAACTAATTGAAATTTTAAATAAGTTAGTTATTTAAATAAATAATTTTAGAACGCAAAATTTGGTGGGGCCACATTGGCCACACACCCAATCACTGGGTGCAGAGAGTGTGTGGCACAGGGAGGTGTCTTTGTGAAAGTCAGTTGCTTGCTCTTTAAGTTATCTAGCTGTTACACAAGTTATCCAATCTGAATTTAAATAAGTTTAAAGTTTGACTTTAAATAATTATTTAAATTTGAGTCAAAATTGAATAACAAAATAAAAGAAATTTGTTCAGAATTTAAATAGGAATTTATCTTGATTTTAAATGAGATTTAAAATTAAGATAATCATCAATTTTCTCATGCTCATCTTTTAGAGATAAGATTAGTGCTCTATTAGGACTGATTTTATCTCTACAAATATGTGGTAATAGAAAATTAGAAAACACAAAAAAATTTTAGCTTTAGAAAGTCTATGATGGCCAAATTTTACTAAGAGAAAAAGTGGCCAAATTTCACTTGCTCTTCCGTTCTGAGTCCTACTTTGCACATGCGTTGAGATTAGTGAGAGAGAAATTTAGTTGAGTGATCAATATAAAAGTGCCCACACACTTGTCTTGCAAGTTTCAAGGAGTAAATGAGTAAGATTTAGGGTTTTTAAGAATCCTGGAGCGAAAATTATTTGTAGTCAAAGAGCTCAAGGTATCGACCTAATTGCTTCAAACGGGTAAGATAAATGATTCGATGATTTATTCTGATCGTATAAATTAATACAATCTATAGTGCATTACTAAAAGTTTTATCAAAATTTTTGTTATGCACGATCATTACCAATTCGCTTCTGCATTATGTTGTTAAATCTAAAATCGTTTTAAAATCCAACAACAACACCATGGTGTTATTTATCATTGCTTAATAATTAAATGGTTAATCTCATAAATGGTCTTTGAATTTTACAATCAATACCACTTTAGTCCTTGATTTTTTAAATATTTCAAATTTAGTCCTTTTCATCAATTTAAAGTTAAAAACAAAAAAAAATATAGATGATGTTCAGTTAGCAGAGTATTATTTTATATTTTTGCGTCCATACTATGTATTCTCTCCTTGTTTTTTTTTTACCCCATTAATGAAAATGAATAAATTTAAAATGAATTAATAGATTAGAAATAAGTTTTGAGATGTTTTAAACGTCAGTGACTAAAGTGAAATTGAGAATAAAGTTCAATTACTATTTGTAAGATTAACTCATAATTAAACATCGGATGTAAACGAGCCAAAAATAATTGAGCAACAACTCCCACGAACCACTTTCTCCATCAGCTTTTGCAAGTTTTATCCGATTATATTGCATGTATGTCATGTCATACGATAGCTACCTCATTAACTTTCTTTTTTAAGCCTCTTATGAGTTATGATACAAAATCATTGGCCATCTTCATTATAGATACCAATACATGAAGATAAAAAACACTTCATATTATGAGCAGAAAAATACTAGTACATATGTTGTGGGGTATATGTGTATATTAAGTCGATATAAAGTGTAGAGAGAAAAAGGTTATGAAAATCTTCCTTCTTTATATGAAGGCAAAAAAGAGATCTTCCTAAAGTGGAGTATGCTTTAAACATAAAAATAGAATACTTTCTTTAATGAATGATTGAAAGCATGAGATAAATGAAAGGAAAAAAATATACTAAATTAGAGCTGCTTCCTTTTTTTGTAGTGTGCCTGGCACATCCTAACGCAATTATTAACAGGCTTATTATGAGGCCAATTACGTGATCAAAAAAGAAGATTTATAAAGGGGAAAAAGAAAAGAAACTATAAAAAGATGGACTTGAGTGGTAGCTTGATTTAAGACAAATCAATAGTGCTAAAAAGATCCAAAAATACAGTGCTCTTAACAAAAGTGAGAAGCTTTTTGTTTAATAAAACAAAAAAGTTTGAGAAAGTAATGTGCAATTGCGATGGCAATAAAATGATGTGGTCAAAGTTCATGAGCGTAGGAAAGATGTGGTCAAGGGTGTACAAAAGAAGAAAACAAATACGTTTAAGGCTACTTGGTGGCCTTGTAAACTTTTGATTTATGCAAATTATGACTTGTTAGTAAAAATCAGCAAACCATGTTGAGAACTACAGGAAGAGGAGTTGACACGCAAGTAAATTATGTAGTTTTTAACATGGTTTGCTGAAAAAAAAAAAAAAAAAAAAGATCTTCTTCGATAGTTGTGATATCGTAGAAGTTGATACGCAAGTAAGTAAATTATGTAATGTTCATGATCTACTAAAAAACTATATTCACAAAAAACAAAACAAAAAAAGAAAAAAGAACGCATGAAAAGTAGAATGATCATAGAGTCGACTTTTATTACATCATTTTCCAACACCTGAGTGGTCAATTATGGTCAAAAGAAGAAAAAGAACACAGGTGAAAAAGGGAAGAAAAATGAATCCCCTCAAAGCATATACTTGAAGTGAAGTTGTTAAATGTGGTAGAAACATAAATATTGAAGAACATAGCAGGGCACAAGGAAAAAAGATGAGCAAATTGTTGTTCAGTCATTCAGGCAAAGTTTAGTAGGCCACAAAGTCTGAATATGCATTAAGATTATTATCCTCCTTATCCAAGAAACAAATCCCAGAAAAACAAAATTGTATTCTAATCGGTTTCTTTTAAGGCTTCAGCTATTTTCTTGTGCACGAGCTCCACTCCGAGGCGAGGAGATAATCGAGGCAGAGTTTCCTGAAATAGAGATTACTATTTTTTTGAGAGACGGAAACTTATAATAATCTCCAAACAAAAATACGCGTAAAATCCAAACTTTTTAAGCTATTCTTCTAAAAATAGAACTAACAGATTGATGAAATTTGCACGGCGAGGAAAGGCAGTCATCCTTATAGAAACAAAATAGTGTTTATGTGGACAATGTAAGACAAATAAAGAAAGAACAAAAAGTGGGGGGTAAGGAAAACTTGATATGCTTCTATCAAATAGCTTGCTTTGCAGACAATTTAAAAAAAAGAAAAAAACAATTGTCCGATAAAGCCTATCTCTGATTTGATAGTCAACAACAGTTTAACCATTTTGTGGGAAGCTATTTGTTTGAAAGAATCCATCATGACGGAAAAAAAAAAAAAAAAAAGGTGAACTTTAAGCAGAGACCTTTACAGAAAACACAAATTGCACTTCTAGACAGGGAAAAAAGTTAACCAACAGAAGCAACCGTGTAAAACATAATCTTTGCAATCATGAAGGTCTGACCAAAAAGAAAGAATCTGGTCAAAAAAGAAGGAATCTGGTCAAAAAAGAAGTTGGAAATGGAATCTGTATCTTTCAGCACGCATTCTGTCAATCAGTTGGGTACCACGTGAAGTTTTAAACCACAATTGATAACCATATCACTTTTCCACAGGTAAAAAATTTGTGAATTCAAGTCTATGTCAAGTTGTCAACAAAGTACAAAGGTTATACAAAGTCTGTTAACAAAGTATTAGGATGCATTTGGGACGAGGTCGTTCAAGCAATGGGGTTAAGAAAGAAGAACTTTATGATTTACATGAATGGCCCAAACCCATTTGTGATCTTGACTTCTTGAGTTCGAAATGGGAGCCCGAATGAACCAATAATCTTCGGGAAGCATGAAACTCTTGGTTATTTATTATCAGGTGAATTAGAGGAATACCACAGAATCGGCATTCAAATACATCACTTCTGTGGAAAATTTAAGCCTAATTTATACATAAAAGTGATACAGGTGAATAACTAGAATTAAAAAAGTTGTAGCCAACCTAATTGACATTTATTTATGAGGCAGGTAAGCCTAAGAAATTGATCCCCAAACTATGAGTAAACCACAGACATGACCGCTCAACCAATCCTCAGGATCCAGGATTTTCAAGTTTGATTCAAAGAAAGATCTGGCCCGAAAAATAAAGAGCCTATATGTGCCAATCACTGACTACAAGTTGACCGAAAAAAAAACCTTATTCCCTACTCAACTCAACAAAGCAATCACCTTAAATATTTGGGCTGGGCTACCTAATAAGGCATAACACTACTGAGTTCCACTTTGACAAGGTTCATCAAATGACTTTTAAGTGCTCTTGCACAAAACTAACTTCAAGACACCATTATCCTGTTCTAAAGCCTTCTTTTTGGCAACAGAGGGTATCACAAAGCCCCAACTATATAACTTCCAGCCATTCCTTATAGAGCTTTTCTTTCAAGCACCTAGTCTAACTATCTGTGTATAAGAATCTAAATTATTATGGACGTGTCACGAAGGCACCCAGAACTTTGGAATTTGAGCCTCGTTATCGGAATACACTGATAGAAACTAGTATTTTTCTATCCTAAATTTCCAAGAGCTGTGACTTCTAAGCAAAATAAAACCACACACTGCAAGGTTAATATTTACTCTTGTTGTGAGATACGGTTAATAATAGGAAGAGATTTTATGTGACTGTGTGATCCCTGAAATTTAGGGATTTGGTAAGCTGTGACTTCCAAGCAAAATCCCTAGTATTTACTCTTGATCCACGTGCTCTCAAGTGTATTTTCATTGGCTATTCATCCACTCAAAAAGGGTACACATATTTTCATCCGCCCACAAGAAAGTTTTTTGTTTCTGCTGATGTCACCTATAATGAAAGTGAGTTATATTTTCGCATTCCTATCTTCAGGGGAAGAATTTGAGTGAA